TATTATGTATTATATACACATGTTAAATCTTACAAAGAAATGGGTTTTGATAAATGCCATTATTCTATCAAAATACAGAATATTTTCCTCAGAACATTTCCTCCTGCCTTTTCCAAATCAATCTTCTCTCCAGCCCCTCACTGAGGGAGCCACTGTTCTGATTATCTCTTTCACCATAGATCAGTTTTACCTGATGTAGGACTTCATATAGTGGAGTTATGTAACACACAATCTTTAGACACGTTTCTTTTTTTATATCTTAATATCCCTAAAAATTGGAATGTATCTTAGAAATTGGTGGTGTTTAAACAATTAATAGCAGTGTTTTCTTTATTTTATTTTCATGTAAAATAATGGGGTGTCTTACAATCAGTGTCATCTTTGATTTGATGAATTATTTATATATAAATGAAACAAATATAGCAAAAATGTTAACAGTTGCTGAATCTTGTTGGTGGATATATGAATGTCCTACTTTTCTATGAGTTTGAGCATTTTTATATGAAAAAGTTTACTAAATAAAAGGATACCACAATTGTTATACCCTGCTTTGGCCTTTTTTCCTCCTTAATTAAAGTGACCCTTAAATAATGGAATTAGCTGGAGCCTTTCCTGACCTCTGTGAGACCCTGACTACAGTAGGGACCTGGGTGCTCTAGACTAGTACAAGTCTTTGTAGAATTTGCCTTTTTCTCAGATATGTTATTATTCTATGGTCTATTTTTCCAAATTTTTCAAAAGCTTCTGTCCTCTGCGTCCTGAGAAAGAGGAGCTCTGCACTTGTGATCAAAGTGCCTAGTCAGGTACCAAATCCATCATGCTGAGGGCCTGAGTCTGAGGCAAGAAAGAAAAGCTAGGGCCCAGAACTAGAACCTTGAAACTGGAAGACCACGGTACTGGTTCTCTAAGTATAGACTTACTTCCAGTTCCTCCTTATGAATAATTATAAATCCATATAATGGGTACAGAATATATAAAGATGGAATTTTGACATTAATAATATAAAATTTGGGAAGATGGAGCCATATAGAAGTAGAGTTTTTGTATGTGATTATAGTTAAGTTGGTATCAATTTAAAAATAGACTGTTATGGGGTGCCGTAATATATACATATATATAATATATATATTATATATAATGAGATATATATATTTATATATATAATGAAATATTTTTTAATGTTTACTTATTTTGAGAGGGGGGAGGGTCAGAGAGAGAGGTAAAGAGAGAGAATCCCAAGCAGGCTCTGTGCTCAGTGTGGAGTCTAATGTGGGGTTCCATCCCATGACCATGAGATTAAGACCTGAACCGATATCAAGAGTTGGGAGTTTAACCAACTAAGCCACCCAGGCATCCCTGTATATATAATGGAATATTATTCAGCCATAAAAAGATAATGAAATCTTGCCATTTGTAACGACATCGATAGAGCTAGAGAGTAAAATGCTAAGCGAAATGTCAGAAAAAGATAAATACTATATGATGTCACTCATATGTGGAATTTAAGAAACAAATGAGCAAAGAAAAAGACAGACAAACCAAGAAACAGACTTTTAAAAAAAATTTTTTTTTTTAACATTTATTTCTTTTTGAGAGAGAGAGAGACAGAGCATGAACGGGGGAGGGTCAGAGAGAGGGAGACACAGAATCTGAAACAAGCTCCAGGCTCTGAGCTGTCAGCACAGAGCCCGACACGGGCTCAAACTCACGGACTGTGAGATCATGACCTGAGCCGAAGTCAGCTGCTTAACTAACTGAGCCATCCAGGCTCCCCAGAAACAGACTCTTAACTACAGAAAACAAACTGATGGTTACCAGAGGGGAGGTGGGTGGGGATGTGGATGAAATAGGTGATAGGGATTAAAGAGACACTTACGATGATGAAAAAAAGTAAAATGAAATGATAAAACAAAACATATGTGGTCTTTGTTCTCAGTTCCCGGCACAGAGCTTCTAAAACCCTTGGAATATCATGAGTAATAGGAGTGTCTTTAGTTATTCATAATGAGTCCCTCTTAACCATATCTGAGTTTATGCTAAGAAGGTGGCTGAAGGTGAGCCCTTAGATAGTTTCAAGGGAGGAGCTGGCCATGCACCATGATTAGAGGATTGGAACTTTCAGCCCCACCTGTAAATTCCAGGGAGGTGAGTGAGTCTAGACATTGAGTTCAATCACCAATGGTCAATGATGTAATCAATCATGCCTATCTAATGAAGCCTTGATAAAAACTGAAACAAGGAGGCTAGGGGAGCTTGTGGGTTGGTGAATATTGATTTGCTGGGAGGATGTGTTGCAGGATTTTTTACCTCAATACCCAGTGTTCATTGTCTCACTGCTTCAAAGAATGAAGAGGTGGACACAGAAAGAGCAGCTTGCAAAAGTTTATTAGAGTATGAGATCAGAAAGGAAGAATAGTAGAAAAGCTCTCTTTACAGAGAGGAGGCAGGGTCCTTGTTTTTCTGGTCGTTCTCCCCTTTCCTTCCCCCTTGTTCCTTCTCAGGTTCTACCCTTATTGGCTTGATAGCTCTAGGTGCTGGGTTGTCCATTCCTGATTGGCTCATTTCCATTGTATGAGGGGTGGTCTATGGCCATACTGTTCCTTGTGGGTCATACGTTTTATGGTCTATTACTTATTTTTAGTCAGGTCTTTGTCAAATTCCTGAGGGGAACCTTAGGGGGAGGAGATGTGTCTTACATTCTTAAGAGGAACCTTATGCCCAAGGGGCTTTGCTGTGGTCAGATGCTCCCAGCTATTCCCCTTTCTGAACATGTGACCCCTTTACCCCTAACTGCCTTTAGGAATTGGGACAAGACCAACAGATCTTAACTGCTTCCTGCTGAAGGGCAGGCAGGGAGGGGTGGATGATGACAGAAAGACAGTCAGGGCAGGTTCAGCGGTCGATCCAGATGTCTGATATAATGGGAGGGTGTTTGGAAAATCTGCACTAGCAAAATTTTCATGGATGTCTTATTTTTTTTTTTTTTTGGCATATGCAACAGCATCTACAAATGACATACAAAAAGAATATTAGACCAACAAACATCAATATTCCAAATGTAATGCCTCCTAGGGAGGAAGCCACACCATAGGAGGGAAAGACACATTGTAGCCATCAAAAAAATCCCTGGCATGTCTGGTCATATTTTTTATTAATTTGACTATAGTTTTTCCTCTCTTTCCCATACTTATTTGGATCTTGTAATAGTGTTGATTAGAATAACTAAGTACCTGAACTAGATTTTGGTTCTCAATCTTCAAATCTTCCTTTGGCCATCCAGTTTCTATAGGAACAACTCCATCAGGTGTAATTTACCTCAAGGAAAGATTGACCTTTGATATCCAGATTGCTGTAAGTTTAGGCAATTTTTTGTCTGTCCTGGAGCTAGTAGTTTCTAATTCAGTCATAGTTTCTGTAGTTTCTTTCTTTTTTTTTTTTTTTTAATTTTTTTTTCAATGTTTATTTATTTTTTTTTTGGGACAGAGAGAGACAGAGCATGAACGGGGGAGGGGCAGAGAGAGAGGGAGACACAGAATCGGAAACAGGCTCCAAGCTCCGAGCCATCAGCCCAGAGCCTGATGCGGGGCTCGAACTCACAGACCGCGAGATCGTGACCTGGCTGAAGTCGGAGGCTTAACCGACTGCGCCACCCAGGCACCCCTGTAGTTTCTAATTCAGTCATAATGTCTCTTTCTAGCAAGGGAGTGAGGCTCTCTGGCATTATCAAAAAAGAATGTGAAAAAATCAAGTCTCCCCATATGCACCCCAGTGGCTGAGAAAAAAAATTTAGTCTTAAATTTTCTGGAGATGCCTCTAATAGTTACACTGCATTTGGATAGTTGGCCAGGAGGTGGAAAGGACAAAAAATGTGGCTCCAGTGTCAAGAAGGAAATCAACCATTTTTCCTTCTATATCTAGAGTTACCTGAGGTTCTGGATTTCCAATAAGTAATTGGTTGGGGGGAGCCACTGTAAAGAACCCTGGGCAGCATCAGTCCCTTTCAGGGACATTGGTTATCTGAGCCCTTGCAGATTGAGGTCCCTGAAGGCATTCAGATCTCCAGTGACTGTCTCCACACAAGGGGCGTGGCTTATGGGTTTCGACTTCAATTGTTCCCTCTGAAGACATTCTCATTTCCAGTGCCCTGAAAGGCCACATAATTGGCCCATGATAATTAATGAGTTGCTCATCCCCATATCTCTCAACCGCTACCAGAACCCCATGTTTCAGCATTAAGAGTCTGATTCAACAAAAGCATTGTATCTTTCCAGGTCAACTCAAAAACATACGTGATAGTCTGAAAGGCCTCTATATACTTACTTGGATCATCAGAAAATTTACCTAGATCTCCTTTTATCTGTCTTGAATCTTATAATGAAAAAGGTACTTGTAATCTTATCATAGTGGTGCCTCTTTGTGTCCCTTCTCCTGGCACTCTAACTTCTTGTAGAGGAAACACACCTGTTACATTATGGGGAGGGCCTGCGTAAGGTGGGCAGCAGGGAGCAGAAGTGCACATTTGTGGGGTTTTTTCTTTTAAGTCTGGATATATAGATCGAGGACCCAAGGAGGAGGAAGTTGAGGTGGAAGATTTCCCTTCCTCCTTCTCTAGGTCTGCTTTGGGTACAGGTAATGGGCCCTTAATTGTTTCTTCTCCTGATTTCTGGACCTTGGAAAGGGCTGCCAATAAGCCAGGGTTGACCTTGCATTGCATACACATGTCGCAATTTTTCTCTTAAAGCCCCAAAACATCAAACATAGGGGACTTCTCCCCATTTCCCCTCATGTTTACAAAACAAGTCCAGTTGTAGGATAGTACTATAATTGGTATTTCCCCCTGGCGGCCAGGTTTCCTCCTCCAATTTGTACTCAGGCCAAGCCTCCATGCAAAAGAAAGTGAGTTGCTTTTTCAGAATGCATCCCAAAGGAGTTTGGCATTGGTTGGGGAATTGCTCAGCTATAGAAAAAAGGGGAAAAGGCATCCCTTATCTCAATTTCCTATGACTGGCCAGGAGAAAACTCATCTCCTGACCCCAATTGTTGGCCAGGAGAAGCTTCATCTCCTGGCCCTGCATTTTGGCTGGCTATGTGAATGGCAGCCAAAAGCCCTGTCAGTCTCGTGAGGTGCTGGGAGGTACTTTTACCCGGGCTTGACCCTACCTCTAAGAGCTGGCCTGTCTTCCTCACTTTTTCCTACCCCTCCATTTCCCACCTGCAGGACTTTGGGGGTATCTACTATAAGCAAGACTCCCTTGGTTGTAGAAGGATGCACTAATTTTATTTTGGCCCAACAGCAATTTACATATCGATTATCAGCTGTTGAAGGGGGGTGCTGTAAGGGCCAAAGTCAAGGTCTAGTCCCCTGCCTCTTTCAGTAATGCCCACATAAATATGTTCCAGCTATGTGGGTGTCCATTTTAAAGTCACTAGATTGGTACATGTCAGCATACACTGAGCTAAGTGTAACAAAATGGCTCCCATGTGTCCCGGTAAAAGCCCTTCATGTCATAGTCATCCATCCTTCAGGCATGGGGTGCATCCATTCCTCTGCTTTGCAGAAACAACACAAATGTGGAGCATTTGGAGGCCAGCAGTGAGGGTATCACTGTCATTTCCCCAGTTTTTGGATCAAAGGAGGGCAATTATAATCTTATATCAGTGTATATCATTTTAACCTTAGTCCATCCTGACCACACATAAAATTCCTTTCCAAAGATTTCCCTTCATGAACCTTCTACAACTTTTCTTTGCATCCAAATTTTGTCCCAAGCCATCTCTCTCCAAAGAACCAGTTTCACTTTAGGACAAAATTACTTCCTTTTACTTCAACAAAAATGTATTTCCATTCCTTATGTTGTTCTTACACATCTACTTTTCTTTTTTTTTTTTTTTTAATTTTTTTTTCAACATTTATTTATTTTTGGGACAGAGAGAGACAGAGCATGAACGGGGGAGGGGCAGAGAGAGAGGGAGACACAGAATCGGAAACAGGCTCCAGGCTCCGAGCCATCAGCCCAGAGCCTGACGCGGGGCTCGAACTCACGGACCGCGAGATCGTGACCTGGCTGAAGTCGGACGCTTAACCGACTGCGCCACCCAGGCGCCCCTACATCTACTTTTCTATATACAGAGTTGCTTTCCTTATATCCATCAGTCTTAACCACATCTATAGAATTTTAACTCTTAGAAACATTAGTCTCCAGTGAAAACTCAGTAGTAACCAGTGAACTGTTACATCAGAATTCCTTAAATGGCAAACTTATGAATCAATAAAGCACAAAGCATGTTTTCCAACAGACCCAAGTATCCTTAGTTTTTCTGCAATAAGTCAAAAGCACAAACCTATGTTTAGTTAATAATGTTTCAGCATTCCATCCAATTTGGAAGAGGCCTAAATGTCCAATGAATTTAATCCAGTTTATCATCCAACAAAAACTTTATAGTTTCAGGTTATCAAAGACCTGAAAGCTATCTTAATGATTACCCATGAAAACTTTGAGACAGACCAAATTAACTATCATTTTAAGTCATCTTTTTGCTAGCAAACTGCGACAGACATAACATGAGCTTATTTGACCTTCAGTAAACCTAGGTAGAAAAAGTTTTTTGGATTTAGTGCTGATTAGAGTTAACTCTAAAGACATGTCTATCTTAATTAAACCAATAAACTAAAATCTGTTTAAATACTGAATATGTTCCACCTGTGTCCATTTAAAAGTCAATCAATTTGTTCACCATTGTCAATTTTTATCTGGGGCACCAGTGGGGAAATCTGAAGTAAGCGGTACAAGTAAGGGGGTGTTTTTTGCCCCCTGGACAGCAAAGGAGGAGTTAGAGCCAGTGGTCCCTGAGGCACCAAGGATTGTATAAGAACCAGTTTGTAGGCCGCACCCAAGGTGGGGCAGAAACAGGAATAGAGAGGGGAAGATGAAGAGGTGAGGTTCATAAAGAAGCCTGGACACAGATAAAAGCCCAGAGGGCTGAGAGAGAGGTCTCCTGGTCCTGCAGCCTGTCAGCTCAGACAGATGAGCAGATGCAGATATTTTTTTTCTCCCACCAACAAGTGGAAATGGGCAGTCCATGTCAGGCCAGAAAAGATGGGGAAGTTCCTAGAAACAAAAGGAATTTTGGCAGCTGCTTGGGAATATTCCTTACTTAAAGTCCCCATCCCGAGGTAGACTAACCAGAGACAGTTGGCTCTAATTATCATCTGCATCTTGAGGGAGCCTGCCAAATGTCTTCTCTCCCATCCACTCCATGGACATCAGGAGCAGGAGGAGGGTGGTGAGCCCAGGTGGCATGGAAGTCAGTGCTGCTCTCTGCTCTGGAAGAGACATTTGAAAATCAAAGATCCAAAAAATGGGGACCTGGGAGGTGAGCCATGCCAGAGTGTCAAAAATGGAAGCAAGCACAGGACTGCCTTCCACTGTAGTTAGGAAACTTGTGAGTAAGACCCCTTGGAAGTCATCCAGATAACTCCTGGAGAATATCCAAGGGATCAGTCCTGGGCTCTTCCACCCATTTCCCAAAGGGAGAGGCTGGCCAAGACAGAAAGAGAATTCCACTGGTTACCCAAATGGATGATCAGGGATCAGGTCCTGCCAAAGGCCTTCAAGCATCCATCAAAAAGTCGCCTTGGTCAGGACCCATCAGTTGCTGTTTGGCCTCCCCTGAGCCCATGCATCCAGAAGTTTTTCTCAAAAGGAAATTGGGGCTCCACCACACTGACATTCCCAATTATATTGGGAGATCAGGTGCCCATTATTTAGTTTGAGAGTTTTATTTATGATAGAAAGAAAAGGGGGGGTGCTGGCTACTCTTAACTTATGGTTGGAAGACATTGATATCCCAGACAAGCCCCCAAAGAAATGCTGTAGGATTTTTTACCTCAATACCCAGGTTTTGTTGTCTCACCACTTTGAAGAATGAAGAGGCAGACACAGGATGAGAAGCAGGAAAAAGCTTATTAGAGTATAAGGTCAGAAAGGAATAGTAGGAAAGCTCTTTTTGCAGAGAGCGGGTATTTGAAAGTGAATGCCTTTGACTACAGGCAAGGGTCCATGTTTTATAAGGTTCTGGTCGCTCCCCATCCCTTCCCCCTTGTTCCTTCTCGGGTTCTTCCCTTATTGGCTTGATAGCTCTAGGTGCTGGGTTGTCCATTCCTGATTGGCTCATTTCCATTGTATGAGGGGTGGCCTATGGCCACATCATTCCTTGTAGGTCTACTTATAGATGTTTTATTATCTACTACTTATTTTTAGTCAGGTCTTTTGTCAAATTATTGAGGGAAACCTGAGGGGGAGTAGATGATATCTGTCACATTCTTAAGAGGAACTTTATGCCCAACGAGCTTTGCTGTGGTCAGATGCTCCCAGCATTGTTCCAAAACATGTGTTTTTCCCCACCCAGGGACCTCAGGTCATAATCTTTCCCTCTCTGCCTACTAAATCCTATCTTTTCCTATCATAGCTGGCTCGCCCAAAGAGGGCATGGAAGCTCTGTGCGGTCGCACTTCCCCCACCCGCCCATACTTTGCCCTGTTCATCTCTTCCATTTAGCTGCTCCTGAGTTGTATTCTTTTTTTTTTTTTTTTAATTTTTTTTTTTTCAACGTTTATTTATTTTTGGGACAGAGAGAGACAGAGCATGAACGGGGAGGGGCAGAGAGAGAGGGAGACACAGAATCGGAAACAGGCTCCAGGCTCTGAGCCATCAGCCCAGAGCCTGACGCGGGGCTCGAACTCACGGACCGCGAGATCGTGACCTGGCTGAAGTCGGACGCTTAACCGACCGCGCCACCCAGGCGCCCCAACCTGAGTTGTATTCTTTATCATACAATTGTAATCATAAGTATAGTGCTTTCCTGAGTTCTGTGAGTCATTCTAGAGAATTATTGAGCCTGAGTGGAGTGTCTCAGGAACGCTTGAGTTTGTAGTTGTTTAGGCAGAGTGCAGGTAGCTTGGAGACTCTACTTGTGACTAGTGTCAAAGTGGGAGCAGTCTTGTGTGACTGAGCCTTTGAGGTCTTAGGTTCAAATTTCAGCTCTGCCACTTATTAGCTATGTGATTGTCACAAGTAGCCCAATCTTTCTGAACATCAGTATTCCTGTCTATGTAATGGGGATCATAGTAGTAAGTATGTCATTGGGTTGTTCTGAAGCTTGTATGAGACAATGCAGTAGAGTGCTTAATACAGAACCTGACACATTTAAAATGCTTAATAAATATTAGCTATAATTAAAAAATATTATTAATAAAGAAAGCTTTGTGCCAAACCCAAATCACAGATAATGTTCTAGGTAAATATCTGTGCCTGTGTCCCCAGGCATAAAATAAGAAACAGATTTCCTTTCTTAAAATTTCTTAAAACACAGAAGAGTCTGAAGAATGAACAAGAGCTAGAATTTAAAAGCTAAAAGAGGGGTGCCTGGGTGGCTCAGTTGGTTAAGCCTCCGACTCTTGGTTTTAGCTCAGGTCATGATCTCCCAGTTACCGAGTTCAAGCCCCCAACAAGCTTGTGCTCACAGCACGAAGCCTGCTTGGGATTCTCTCTCTCTGCCCCTCTGCCCTGCATGCACTCTCTCTCAAAAAAAAAACAAAACAAAAAAAAAAAACCAACAACAACAAAAACCCCCAAAAAGAAAACAAAAAAATAACAACAAAAAAAACACATAAAGTTGAAAGTAAACTTTTTTTTTTTTTTAATCTAAAAGAATAAATGAGAACTACAAAACACGGCCTTGCAGGGCACCTGGGTGGCTAAGTCGTTTAAGCTTCTGACTTTGGCTCGGGTCATGATCTCATGGTTTGTGAGTTTGAGCCCCACATTGGGCTCTTGCTGACAGCTCAGAGCCTGAAGCCTGCTTCGGATTCTGTGTCTCTTTCTCTCTCTGCCCTCCCCCACTTGTGCTTTGTCTCTCAAAAATAAATAAATGTAAAAAAAAATTTTTTAATAAAAAAATAAACATTAAAAAAAATTTTTTCAAAGCATAAGACCTTGCATAAATATTTTTTTTCTCCTAAGTTCCTAGGTCCTGAAACTATTTTGCAAGCCTCTCTAGGTGAAAGATTATGTGGCTTCATGAAGAAACTATCTGGGAAAAGTTGGAGAATAAACCAGCTGGAGATACTGATTCAAGCCATTGCTTAATATTTTGTCTGTGCTTTAAGGCACTGAATAGCTAAAATCACTGAGTTTGCTGCTAAGGGTTTTCTTTATATTGGTCTCTTGGACTGTTTCTGAAGTCTCCCCAATGTCCTTCATGGAAAAAGTAAAGTCAGAGTCCTCATACCCCCGCAGGACCAGGAAGCAAGAAATCAAGGAATGTGGAACAACAAATACACTGAATGAAAGAGGCTGTATTTGCTCCTGAAGCTTATACAATTGCTCTTTCTCCTTTGCTTTTCTACCCTTTCCTCTCCTCATGTTCAGTACTTTCTGGATTTTTTTGATTTGGCTGCTAAGACCACAACATTCTACCTCTGCTTTGACATGTTGTCAATGCAATACTGAACTGTAAATACTGCTTTTGTGAAATGTCTTTATTCTGTCTCAATCTCTGTAAATTACACTTATGTTGAACATGCCAGTTGCCTTGTCTAGCTTGGCTTTGTATCTTTACAAGTTTATCTTTAACCCACTTTGCAGGTCATTTCGAAAGCTCTACTGATACGTGTGTCCTGGCTATTAGCTCAACTCAACTAATATTTGCTTGTTAGGGAGGCAATAATTTGCCTCAAATTGACTCAGAGCAGATGGATCTCAATGAAATTCCCTGCTAATTTTCTCTCAAATCTCAAGACTGACTTTTTAAAAAAATGACCTTTATTTAGAAAGGGAACCATGAGGAGCAAGGATAGAAGCTGACTGGTTTGTGGCAGAGACAGAGATGGAGAAGCCTGAGCAAATGCTCCCAGATCCACTCACAGTAGCCATCTCTGAAATAACACCACAACAGTCTAAGAGTTACATTGTTTCCCTTTTTAAACTTTCCTGTGGGGCACCTGGGTGCCTCAGTCAATAGCTTCCGATTTCCACTCAGGTCATGATCTCACAGTTGGTGACTTTGAGCCCCGCATCTTCTCTCTCTCTCTCACCTCTGTCTCTGCCCCATCCCCTTTCATTCTTGCTGTCTCTCTCTCTAAATAAGTAAAAAAAAAATTTTTCTTGCAACATACAGGAAATCCTTGTGATTACTTTTTATTATGGTAAAATATACATAAAATTTACTATTTTGAGCATTTTTAAATTTTATTTTATTTATTTATTATTATTATTATTATTATTATTATTATTATTATTATTATTTGGAGAGACATAGAGAGTAGGGGAGGGGCAGAGAGAGGGAGACAGAGGATCCAAAGCTGGCTCCTCACTATCAGCATGGAGCTGGACACAGGGCTTGAACCTACAAACAGTGAGGTCATGACCTTTTTAAGTTTTTTAAAATTTATTTATTTTGAGAGAGAGAAAGAGAGAGAGAGCACGAGTAGGGGAGTGCAGAGAGAGGGGGAAAGAGAATCCCAAGCAGGATCCACGCTGTCAGCACAGAGGCCCACACAGGGCTCCAATCCATAAACTGTGAGAACATAGCCTGAACCAAAATCAAGAGTTGGCCGCTTAACCAACTAAGCCACCCAGGTGCCCCTTATCATTATTTTTTAAAACATTGACAGTATGTTAAGCAAAAGGAAAAATTAGTCATCAATAAGCCCACCACTCAAAGATAACCATCATTAACAATGGACTGTTTATTCTTTCAGATTTTCAAATATATCCTAATATCCATTAAAAAAGAAGTTAAAAAATATCATTTTAGGGGCACCTGGCTGGCTCAGTCTATAGAGCATGCAACTCTTAATCCAGGGATCATGAATTCAAGCTCCATGTTGGGCATAGAGCCTACTGAAAGAAAGAAAGAAAGAAAGAAAGAAAGAAAGAAAGAAAGAAAGAAAGAAAGAAAGAGGGAGGGAGGAAGGAAGGAAAGAAGGAAGGAAGAAAGAAAGAAAAAAAGAAAAATATCATTTTAGTCTTGTCATTCCCGGGCATCTTGGTTGGGGCTGATTCACACCTAAAGCAGGAAGATAGTGGCAGCAAAGAAGATGAAAAAGTCGCTGGAGTTGGTCAATTCTAGTTTCCAACTCATTATGACAAGTGGAAAGTACATGCTGGGGTACAAGCAGACTCTGAAAATAATCAGATATGGCAAAGTGAAACTGGTTGTCCTCGCCAACAACTGCCCAGCCTTGAGGAAGTCTGAGATAGAATACTGTGGCATGTTGGCTATAACTGGCACCCATCACTACAGTGGCAATAATATTAATTTGAGCACAGCATGGAAGAAATATTACAGAGTAAGCACTCTGACTAGCATTGATCCAGGTGATTCTGATGTCATTAGAAGCATGCCAGAACAGATTGGTGAAAAGTAAATCATGCAAAACTTTTCTTTAATAAAACTGACCAGAGCTTGTTTTAAAAACACTGTTAAAAAAATTTTTTTTAACACTGTTTAATCCTCTCAGGAAGGATTAAACACTGTCATCACCTTACTGACAGGTAAGGAAACTGAGGCTCAGTGAGCAGAGGCTGCAGCTGTGACTGAGGGAGTCAGTTGGGCTTGAAGAGGAGGCTGAAATATCTTCAAGCTAGAGCCAGTAACTTAGAAATCAGGTAGAAATGCAGGTTGTTCTGCAGATGAGGAGGCTAAGGCCCAAGAAGAGGACAGTGCTGGCTCAAGGTCATACATACAACAGGTTAGAGACAAATTTGGAACCAGAATTCAGAACTCTCTGATCTATGCTTTTTCCACTATGATACTGCCAAGGCTTGCCTTGCACCTGTGGTTCTCAAACTTTAGTGCACATCAAAATACTGATTATAGGAAAACCCTGGGTAAACCCACCCCTGGAGTTTCAGAACCAACAAATCCAAGTACAACTCTGAATCTGCATTTTAAGGAAACAATCAGGGGCTCCTCAATAACACTTTAGAATCACTGCCCTGGATCAAGGCATTTGATTATTAAGGGCACTAACTTCTACTGAGCTCCCCAAGTGTCCTTGGGAGCAAGAGACCAAGAGTTACCCTTAAGTCACCCGAGCACCCAACTTGAGCATGATTTGACATTCTGGAATGTCATCCATCTCTCACTCCAGCACCATAATGCGCATCTGCTCTTGGAAGATCCTCTCACTTTCTATTCTGGCCCTCACTGACTACAAGGACTGGCTGCTCTGCACTCTTGGGGGCTACTCTTAACACTTACTATGCACTGCCCATCTCCTGCTGGACTGCAAGGACCTTGAGAGCATGGACCTTGTAGAGAGCTCGGACCTTGTAGAGTCTACTCCATTCATTGATTCGACAGAGAACTTCTGTGTAAAAGGTAATATGCCTTTACTTTGCCCTTTAGACCAGATTGGAGATGCAGAAGAGCCTATTTCTCATCATCCATTCTTCAGTCCAGGCCAACAGTGGACCTTACTGGTACCACAATCCATCCACTCGCACCCTCTACAATCCATCTTCATACAGCAGAATTTAAACATAAATAGGATTGTGTCACTCCCCTACTTTAAGCTTTCCAGAGGCTTCTAATTGTTCTTAGGATGAAAACTGAAATTCTTACATTTAGGACCTAGGCCACCTGTCCAACACCACTCACCTCTGACCCTTGTCTTCTAGCTCTGCCCCTCTTCCTCACTGTCTGCTCTACGGTCACCCTAGCCTCCTTGGAGCTCCTCACCAGTCCCTGGCCTGGGATGTTGTCTGCCTCATCACTGACAGAGATGGAGTGTGAAGTGCAAGATGGATATTAGGGATCTACTTCTATAAGTGGAAGTGGGAGGAAGCAGGATTGGGCAGAGAAAGAAAAGCCATGAAGCAGGCTTGCCAAAGCCTCAGCCAACCTCCTGGGGAAGGCTTGGAGCAAATATTTCTCCAGCACTTGCTGAGTCTTGCTCTGTCACTAAGTTTAGGCTTCTCCAGTTAGGGTGTGATGGCAACCTCAGGCAAGGCAGTTCTGTGCAAGTGAGGCTGACACTGATGGCACTGACAGGTAGAGGCTGTCTGCTAACCACACCCCTTGGTTGAAGGCAAGTTCTCCCCTCCTATTTTTTAGGCAAGTTTTTCCTTGATGGGTGAGGGCACATCCCCATGTCTACCACATGGGTCAGTACTGCTATCCCTTATCATCCTGACAGGCTTCTGGGTAGTTCATAGGCTTCGTCCTCTGGGAAACCTTCACTCAGACCTCTGGGCTATAAGTGCTCATAAAACTCTGTCCTTTTTCTCCCCAGTAGTTATCACAGTTTGTAATCACATGCTTGTGTGTGTGTGATTATCTAACGGATGTCTGTCTTTCCTAAGACACTATATGTTTGTGCAGGCAAGGACCATCTGTGTGACTCACTATAGTCCCAGAGCTCAGGCCAGTACCTGGTACATGGTAAGGAATGAAGTAAAAACTTGTTAAGAAATGAAGACTCGTACCATGTCTTGCAAACAAATGACTTTCCCAATTATGTGGATCGTTAAGAGCTTGCTGTGTATTTGGAGTTCTCATCCAGCTCACAGGGAGGACATTCATGACTGTTTCAGGTTTTATCTTTAATATTTAGGAGCCTGCTCCTGCCCCACACCAATCTGGTCTAAAGGGCAAAGTAAAGGCAAAGTTCACACTATTACCACCATCAACATCACCACAACTATCACCCATAAGCCTTTTAAGGGCCCAGTGCATTGCAATGTCAGTGCAAATTTCCAAACCCAGAGAGCTATACGAGCCTGGTCCCTGCAGGTATGGGCTACATCACTGGGTTAGAAATCACAGTCCCTGCTCTACACCTAGCTGTGCCATCTGAATAAGTCACTTAATCTCTTTGAGCTTCACCTGTAAGATGGGGATAATGCCTGCCTTTTTCACTTCATTGATGTCAATCAGGTTCAAATGCAATGATAGATAGGAAAGTGCTTTGCAGATTGTAAAGCATGGTTCACAGGAAAGAAAGGGAGCTTTCTTTTCATGTAATCGTGACAGGTTGGCAAAGGACATAATTGGGACACTAACTTGTTTTCTACCGTGATGACGTGGGAGCCCACGTAGATGGACTGTGTGCTACGCATTGTTTTTCCCAGTTGTGCAAATAGATTTGTGTTCCCCTCTATGCCTGCCCTTCCTTCTACCTCCTCTGCCCCTTCTGATCAGGGGTGGAGACAACAGGAAGTACACCAACCCTTGGGTGAACAGTGAGGGACTGTGTTGACATCAGATGCAGGTCAAGGTTAAGTGTGTTTAGAGGTGGAGGGGTGTGTGGGTGTGTTTCTCCACAACTGGGCAGAGCAGGTGAGAACATGACGTTGAAGGCAGTGTAGTCCTTAGGGAAGCCAAACTCCCTGGGGGGAAATCTTTTACCTGGAAACTGAATACCTGGCCACTGAGACTGAAGCCAGGAAGAAGACAGTATAGACATAGGTGCTGGAGGTAGAACCATTGATGAGACGCCCAAATAAACTTCCAGGGTCTTTGGTGGGCAAGCCAGTTTGCTAATAGGAATATTCGGAGAGATTTTTGGTTTCTGCTGCTCTCTCCATCCCATTTACCCTTTTATTGGTAATCAATTTATTTAATCCAGGTATATGGCATTCTCTTGACAAGGATGAATAAGACTGACCCACAGCACTAGGTTCCAAACTTTTGGCTTTTTCAGTTACCTCACTGAACTTTCTTCACAGCCCCATGACGTAAAACTAAGCTTACAAAGGCTAGGTAACATGCTCAAAGTCAATCAAGAGGTAAGGGACTATATGTAGCTACATTTAAACCTGGATTTTCCAGTACCTTCTCCCCTACACTGCTATGGAGGGTTTTTTGTTTTTAAAGTTTGTTAATTTATTTTGAGAGAAAGAGAGAGAGAAAGCACAAGGGGAAGAGGGGCACAGAGAGAGGGAGGGAGGGAGAGAATCCCAGGCAGGCTCCACGCTGAGTGAGGACACCCACACTCACAATAGTGAGATCATGACCTGAACAGAAACCAAGAACTGGTTGCTTAACTGACTGAGCCACCCAGGTGCCCCTACACTGCCGTGTTTTTTAAGTTCCCCTCCCCCCACTCCTACTTTCACACATCTACTGTGAGTGTGTGTGTTTATTGGGGTGAGGGAGCTTTGGGCTGTTTTTCTACCTGAAAAACACCTAGGCAGTGTTTCCAAGATGGGAAGGGACCTTACGGGTTACTTAATCCAATTTACTTTGCAGATAGAGAACCTGAGGCCCAGAGAGGGACAGTGACTTTTCTCACATACTCCCTGGATTTTGGGGTCTCAGACCTGGTGTCTTCCAGTCCTATTCTTGCCCACCCTCAGGGAGCCAGGGTGCCTCTGCCTGTTAATATCTTTGCCAAAAATAATAGCTATCCTATGCTGAGCAGTCATTCTTCAAATATTTACTAGTGCCTACTATGTGCCAGGAAACTTTACAGGTGCCATATGAATAGGATGAACAAAGAAAACGGCCCTTCTTGAGCTTACATGGTGAATGGAGCTTAACAAGTCAGTAAGAAATATATAAATACGATAATTTCAGATGCTTGCAAGGAAATAAAGAGGCAATGACGGTGGGGAAAGACTCCAGATGGAGTAGTCAGGAAAAGCCTGACCACCTGGTACCTGCCAGGTGCTGATCCTTTAATTCTCACAATAACTCTTAAAATCTAGGTTCAGACCTCCGCTTTTCTAACAAGGAAACCCACATTCAGAAGGGGTAAGAGTGGCAGTGAAGTCCCAAACTCCTAACCTACCAGCCATTGTAGGGCCCTGGATGATGAAACTCCGGACGAGGACTGCACCATCTCTCAGCCTGCCTCCTCGCAGGTATTGGGTAGTGGGGGGAGGGGCTGTGGGAAGGCGGGATGCCCTCCAAGGAGACGCTGCAAATAGCTCTAAATTCGCAGAAGGCTGAAAGAACAGCCCCTGGCTGGCCCCAGCCCAACTCTGGCCGCAGCCCAACTCTCAGCACCCTCAGCGAGGACAAAGAGGCTGCCCCCTCCCACTCGGGCAGCTTCCGAAGACCGTTCCCGCCTCTTGTCCGGCCCCGAATCGGGCCGGCGCGGGGCACTTTGGGACTTGTAGTTGATCCAGTCCGCCACACCAGCTCCGGAAGCAGACTGGGGAACTACAAGGCCCAGGAGTCAGTGGGCAGGCCCGGGGCGGATCCGCCGGCTGTGGGTGTGCGATCGCTGGGGGCCGGGCTGTGCGGGCTTGGGGCGCTGAGATGCGGCTGCTGGTGCCGGAGCCCGGGACCAGTTTTAAGCGCGCGCGCTAGCGGGGCGCGGCGAGAGGTGGCCAGGCGGTGGCGACAGGCACGTTGATGCATGCGTTAGGTGCAGCTTTTGCAAAACTGCTAGGCTCTGCAGTGGCGCGGTGGAGGGTCCGAGTCTCCGGGGGATGGGCACCCAGCCCCGGAGCCAGGCTGGC